AAGCGATCCCTTGTGAGGCCGTCGACTTCTACCATATTGAGCACGCCAACTCGGCGCTTTTCGACGTGGTCGGGCTGATCGGCAGCGGCTTTTCACTCGTTCATTTAGTCGCCTTTGTCAACGATGATGGATACGTTGAGTACGATTTTTGGGTCATCTTTGAGGCATTCTTTTTGCAGGCTTTATCTGCAAGATCAACACCGTCTGTCGTCTGATTCACCGGGCGATGAACCGGCCGTCGCCGCCGATCTCCTCCAGAACGGCACTTATTTGGTAGCTTTTGTCATACGTTTTTGAGCCCCAGTTTTTTTAGATCTCAACCTCGTCCGCTCTTCTCTACGTGAATTGTCTGCCGTGGATTGCCCACTATCTGGATGCGGCCTCGTCGAGTGGAGATCAAACGTCGTTCTCCGAGATTCTGCGCGTGCAGCCGGACACTGAGAATAAGGTACATCGGATGTCGGACTTGCATGTTTTTCTTTGCATGATCGAATTATTTTTCTTGAAAGCCAGTTTTAAAAATGGGCTTGAACGGTGCTTTGCTCCCCCGGCCGGAAGTTTAAAGCCACCATTTTTTGGAAGCTTCCATTATTTTTCGGCAAAGACCGTTTTTGACTACACCATTTCGATATGTGCAATTCAAAAATTCTACGATAGGTTATCTTAATTACGTATCGCAAATTGTTCATGCACTAGAAAAACTTTAGCGAAAAACATCTGGGAACTTCCGGCTGGGTGAGGGGTAAAGTAAAACCATTTTACCCAGTTTTTTGTCTGAAAGGCCCATAAGAATCTGTTTTAGGAAAACGGCATCTCTACTCGCACCTCATCTGCCCCTCCACTCATCATCCACACCCGCAGCTTCGACGGCTCGGTCTCCCCGAATGGTCTCCTCCTCATCCACGCATCACCCGATCTGCCCACTGCTTTTATTAGGTATACATTTTTCGGTTAATTTTTTTATCTACCGATTTCCAGTCATCAACTCCCCGCCGCGCCGATCGCCACCGCGCCTGACACCCAATTCCTCGAGCCGAACCCGCGGGCTGACAAATTCCACCTGGAGATTGAAACGATCCTGTCGAAGGTCGAGCCGCTCACAAGACCGTAAACCATTTTATTTCTGAAAAATAGAACTCCCTTTCCAGCATTCCCCTCCAAAACGAGGAGGACATCATCGCCCAGCTCACCCGACTGCTCGCCAACGGGACGGCCAATTGTGAGAAGCAGAGTGAGGCTGCGCGTGCCGCTCTCGCCCACGTGCGCGGCATCTACGATTCGCTGAAGGGCGCCGTGAAGGAGCATCAGGTATATTTCTGCTGCTCAGATTTTCGCCTCCTCTTGTGCAGAATTTTTTTGCGAAGTAAAGCGTCCTTTTTAAAATCTATAAAACGACCAGGTTAAAGAGACATAAAGATTTAAATGTGAAAAATAGCAACATCAAAAAAGCAGCACTGTTGATTTTTACCTAGAAGCTTCCTGGCTTCTTTGGGCTGGTCGTTTCGCAGATTCCATGAAGTATACGCTTCTCAGCGAAAAATTTTGTCCTAAAAACGTCGCCTTGTTATTTTGTTTTTCTAGGACCTAACGACTCGCCAGAATGCGGTAGTTGCCCAGATGACGGACAACTCGGACAAGCTGTGTGAGGCAAAGTCTCGAATCTTGTCCGCTGAGGATCGGCTGAATCGGGTATCATCTCTAGATCCCGTTCCATTCAATTGCTTTCCTAGATATTTACAACGGCTTGCGCAAATCTGCCGCTTTCCGAAGACGAACAGAAGATCCTGCAACGACTGCAGGCTTACAAGAAGGATGTGGAAAGGATGGAGGTCGCCCTTGCTAAGGTATTTTTTTGTCTTGAAAATTGGAAAATTGGAAAATTGGGTTCTTTCAAGTTATCGGAGGGTGCTACTTTTGTCTTCGGAGCCAATTTTACTGCTATGCTATTCCGCAACGCAAATACTTTGCAAATTTGTATCTAAAAAAATAGCGAAAATTTCGGTTTTCGAACAAAACTGGCCGTTTTTTGACCAAAATCTCGACTTTTCCAACATTTTTTAGATAGTTTTTCTAGCTTAAATGAGTTCAAATAGACTAAAAACACTAATAAAACTGTTCCTATTAGGTCTTAGGCGTCAAACAAATTCGCCTCCCCTGATCATGCCAAGGAACCGAAAATTTATTTTAGAAAACCCTCGAATTGGCGATGGAAGGGAAAAAGCGACTGCCGCCGACCCGTTCGTTCGTCTCGACACCACAGGGACGCCAAGCGAATACGCAGAGATGGTATGATAATGATTGCTGACAAAATATGTATTCTTTTCTTTTAGTGTCCGTGAAGTGGAATGTCTGGTGGAACGGATGGATGGGCTGAAGAGTCGTGCCGATGCCCTCGCCAATAATTCATTTTAGTAGTCGAATAGTGGTTGTTATTTCTATGATTACGCTTTCTACGTGCGTGTTTGTTGTTTTCATATATGGGTTGTGCATAAATCGTCTCGAAACTATTTGTTGCTTTGGCTACCGTACTCTCCGTGAATTGACGGGCGGATTATCGATTATCATGCGATTTCTGCTGATTTTGAGTTTTTTCTAGCATCTGAATTTCAAACGCTGGGTCCGTCTCGTTTTTTCTTTTATTCGGTTTTTTCTTTGTCTGTTAACGGGGGTGGGTTTAAATTGGTTTTTCTCGCTAGAAATCGCCCATTAACAGTTTTAGACATAGAACGTGCTATTCTTTCGTAAGGCGTATATTATCTGTTAATTTCTGTCACGTTTTCAAGTGTTTATTTGCGCTCGTTCTCTTTTTTTGATTCCTTTCTCGATTTCGCCTAACTCTCATTTCCAGGATGTCCGTGTCCCGTCGTCTTCAGAAAGAACTCGGCGACATCCAGAACTCCGGCGCCAAGGCCTACGGCAATGTCGAGTACAGCGAGAGCAACCTGCTCCACTGGACCGTCACGCTTCTTCCCGACCAAGAGCCCTACTCCAAGGGCGCCTTCCGCGTCCAAATCGATTTCCCCGCCGACTACCCGTTCAAGCCGCCGAAGCTTACCCTCCTAACCAAGATCTACCACCCAAACGTCGATGAGCAAGGCCAGATCTGCCTCGGAATCGTCCACCCGGACAACTGGAAGCCCGCCACGCGCGCCGAGCAGGTGCTGCTCGCTCTTCTTCAGGTAGCCCGCCTTTTCCCGTTGCGTTGAATAGCCCTTATTTTTCAGCTGATCAACTACCCGGAGCCGGACCACCCTCTTCGCGCCGACGTCGCCGACGAGTACACCAAGGACAAGAAGCGCTTCATGAAGACGGCCGAGGAATTCACGAAGAAGCACGCGGAGAAGCGCACCGATTAGTACAACGCCCGATTCTCCACCCCGCTCTTCCCCCCGTCCATTTCCATGCTCCCATTTTCCCGTAAAACCTCTACGGCGCTAAAATCTTCTAGAACCAAACGGCAAATAAATCCCGAACCGCGCAAATATTGTCCAAAATTAGTTGTCGGTTTTTGATATGCAAAATGTTTCGTGTAGCCCCCAAATAGACTTTGAAAATCGGCATCCGGGTGAAGTCTCACTGCCAAACGTTCGCATTCCAAGTTTACGCTAGATTTCGATTTTTCCGGATGCCGATTTCGTTGTCTATTCGAGGGTGGCCCCGAGTCCTTTCAAATTTTCGACGATTTCTTCAAAAAAATTCAATTCATCCAGCCTATGGGTACCCGTGCTGCGTGTTTCCTCTCTCTCCTCTCTCGCGCCCCCACCATTTTGGCCGACCCCTTCCGATCGTGCACCCGTGTTGTGATATCATTCGTTGGCGGGAAGTGGGCGGCAGAAAAAAAGCGGAAGTTTCCCGTTCGACCCTGTCGTTTACCGCCGGGCCCTCTCTTCAAGCCAACGCTAATATATATGCTTTCTTCGGTGATTTCAACGTTTATTTGATTTCTCTCGTTCCCCGGTTCTTTTCCCTGATTTTGCGATATAAATAAATTTAGATGCTGGCGCGGGCGCTGCTGAAAAGGGCTCACGGGACGCTGAAGACGGCACATCGGGTAATCCATTCATTTCGGTTTTAACTTGTATTTTTTTTAGTCGACATGGGTGTTACAACGAGTCAATCTGCCTGAAGCCACGCCAATTGGGGCTGTACAACGAGACCCGGCCGAGCTGTCGATCACGCAAAGATTGGAGGTATCTGGCTTTGATTTTTTACGTTATTTTGTTTAGGTGGTCGAACAGGAGCCAACGACCCCGACGGGCAATCTGCAGCTGATTCTGCTGGAAGATGTGGAGGGCGTTGGGCATCAATTCGACTTTGTCTCCGTGGAGACGAACCTTGCGCGCACGGAGCTGCTCCCCACTCGAAAGGCCGTCTACGCGTCCCCATTTGACCTCAAGTACTATGGGGATATGAAGGAGGTAATCATCTTTGCATTAAATTGGACACTTGTGCTTTTTTAGAAAATGAAAGACGAGCTGGCGGCCCGCGTGCGAATCCCGTACGACTATCTCGTCGTTGGGCGCAAATTGAAGAAGATGGTCATTCCCATAAAGGTATATCTTTTCGAAAAACTCATCGGAAACCCCTTTTTTAGGTGAGCATGGAGAATCAGTGGGCGCTGAACAAGACGATCGTCAAGACATCATTGCGGCAAATGGTTTGGATACAATCACTTTCATTAATACTTGTTTTAGGGCGTAGCACTGGTTGACGACGCAATATACGTGCCCGATCAGCCGTCAATTTCCGGGCCGAACCCCGAGCTCGAGGCCAAGCTCTTCCGGTTTTACGTTGTGGTACGTGGCCTTGGAAAGGGTCTTTTATATTGCTTTTTTTCAGGTTGGAAAGCAGTACATCGTGCCGATGGTCGGCCGGATAGCCCATGTATCCACAGATGAGACCAAAAAGGTATAACGCTTTTTTGAGGCCGAAAACTTATTGTTTAGGTGATCACTGTCGAAGGAGTGAAGGAGCCGACGGATGCCGAACTGTCTCGCCATGGGCTCCGGGCTGAAGAGTGCTATTTCTACAAGACGCCCACCGTCGAGGGATCATTTGATGTGTTCGGCGTCATGAAGAAGCGATAGCTGTCCCCTTTTTCACATGCATAGTGTTACCCCCCATTAGTGTAGTTCCAGATTCGTTTTCTTTGTTCGTCATTTTCCTTGTTCTCGTTGGTCTTTGTGTGAAGAATAAATTGTTCAAGATCTCTATTTTGTGTTTTTTTTTAGTCTTCATCATGGGTTTTGTGCCCTGATTTTCTTTTTATTGATGTTTTAATATAATTTTCAAACATTGGTCGGGTCGGTTCGCGATGCTACCGAAACTTTGCGATATTTTTCTTTAGTTCTTGCATAACAAAAATGAAAACTGGTTTATTAGCCTAATAAAATCATCTTCCCGGCGCGATCTTTAAATGTTTTGAAAGCATTTTTTCTTCATGGCTTCATCGGCATTTTTCAGTCCTCTCAACAACTCGCAACCATGGTGCAAGAAAGTACGATGATTTGGTGAGTTTCTGTTCTCAAAATCTCAATCATATCCCTTTTTTAGCGTCGACAATTCGGAGTTTATGCGAAACGGGGACTACGTGCCCACTCGACTCCAGGCCCAACAGGATGCCGTCAATTACGTGATCAACTGCAAGCTGCGCGCCAACCCCGAGAATGCTGTCGGCCTGTTGGCCATGTCTGGGTCAGTTTGTCGTCCGTTTTCTTCATTGTTCTTCTTTTTCAGTGATGTGACGGTGCTGTCGACAATGTCTCAAGAAGGCCCTCGTCTCTACATGAAACTCCACGAATTGGCTCCCAAGGTATTCAACCGCTCTTGTTTTTGTCGACCACACATTTTAGGGAGATTGCAAGTTCATCTCGGCCATCAAGGTGGCTCATTTGGCGTTGAAGCATCGACAGAACAGGAACCATCGTATGCGCATCGTGCTCTTCTACGCCAGCCCGGCCACTCATCTTGAGGGCCAAGAGGTAGTTTTTGATCATCTACTTCAACCCGGCTCTTTTCAGCTGCTGAAAGTTGCCAAGAAATTGAAGAAGGAGAAGGTGTCGGCTGATGTCGTCTGCTTTGGAGAGGTGCGTTTTGCTTTATTTTTGATTATATTGCACCTAGGTTGACGAGAAGAATGCCGCCGTCTTCGAGGAGTTTGTCGAGACGATCAATGGAAAGTGGGTATTTTTGTTTTTGGGCTTTTTAGTTCGGGGGCGAATCGCAAAACTGTTTGTTTTCAGAGATGGTGGCAACTCGCATCTTCTCGTGATCCCGGGCGGCAACTCTCTGACGGAGGCCCTTGCCAACAGCGCCGTTTGCCGTGGAGAGGATGGGGCCGCGTTGCCGGTAAATTTATCCGTTTTGCTCTGAAAGTTTTTGTTTCAGCCTGGCGGCGCTGGATTCGAGTTCGGCGACCCGGAAGACGATCCGGACCTCGCATTGGTAAGCTTTTCATAGAATTCGGCGTAATTTTCTGATATCTAGGCTCTCCGTGTTTCGCTGGAGGAGCAGCGTGCCCGTCAGGCTCAAGACACCGCCGCTACCGGCAATAATGTACGTTTTATTCTTTTTGTATCATTTCGCATCTGCTTTGTAATTTTTTGGAAATAATTATCTGTTTTTCAGGATTCTCCACCAACTGAACACGCTCCGCCGGTGCCGGACGTGATGGAGATGGACCTGGGGACGATGAGTGAGGATCAGCAGCTGGAGTGGGCTCTGCGGATGAGCATGCAAGAGGGAGGACAACCCGACGCTGCTCAAGATCACGCCATGGATACCACCGCTCCGCAGGTACTTTTTATGCAAAAAATTTCCCGTCTTTGAAAATGATTCCGCGATTTCAAAGCATCCAGAAAGGCCGTTTTGTCAAATGTCGGATTTGTATGTAAAATCTTTTTCAGGGCTCGAACGATGGCGACGATCTGATGAACAACCCGGAGCTGCTGCAACAACTCGTCAACGATCTGCCCAGCGACGCGAGCAAGCCGGACAACAACAAGAAGGAGAAGAAGGCCGAAGACGGACCCTCCAAGTAATTTCCCCCCTTTTTGTCTCCCATATAAAATTCGTCATGTATTCCTGATTTCTCGCATAGCCCACTTCTTTCTTCCGCCTTTCTTTTTGTATACCCCATCGTCACCTATCCATAATTTATTACAATTGTCGGGCAGCATTCGTGTGTATGTGATTTCGTTGGTGACATCCTCAATAAATTTGACCTTTGATCGGGAGGTTGTGCGTGGCTTGTTCAGAGAAATTTACGTGGAGGATTGATGCGATTTGTCGAAGCACTTGCCCTAATAGCGAGAGGACCACTCCGAGAATGGCAAAACGTGTTGCAGACGATGTAAAGGAGCCAAGAGCTGGCGGAACCTCCGGTTTTTTTGTCTATTACTGACTATGGGGTTTTGTTGTACGTCTGTTACGTCCGTACACTCCGCTTCGCTCGTGATCTTAATCCCTCACAGGCAAGTATGTTGCGGCTGCAACGAGGTGCATGGAGACCAGTTAATGATATTACTGCTTGCCCGTGTGCGTGCATTAAGGTGCTCATACTCAATCGTAATCACTTCCTTGGGGCGTGCCGCAAATTCAAATCTACGACATCTGCTTGCCCAGATACCTCTCGGCCCCCTGTAGCTGAAAAGTAGGGTTTTTTTGGCATCATCGAGGTGAGTGTATTTCTGGCCAACATTTTCTCAGTTTTCAGCTGCATTCAGTGGCAACTGAAAGAAACATTCGCGGTGGTGAGAATGTTTGAAATGGGCCTCCTACCCGACGCCCTCTTCTCCGCTGTTCTCGACCAGCTCGGCGTCGTCGGGCTGCTGAAATTACGGAACGTAAATCGATACTACAGGTCGGCTGAAGTGATTTTCAAGAAATTCATTATCGGAGACCGGTTTCGGTTTGCTGATTTAGCTGCATTCAGGAGGGCAGTAAGCCAACGCGGATTGATGCCCAGAAAAATACTGAGGCTGAAGGTATTTTCACGCATTCGAGGGCTAGATGATGAAATTGAAGCGAAAGAGACGGATCTGGTTGAAGATGGAGATGATCAAAAAGTATAGTTTCTATCCCTGACCTCCTGGGTATCACCGTACTCAGCTGCTAGCGGGGAAAGTAATTATTATTTTTTCGCCTATACCTGGCTGTTGAGGATAACTAATGTATTTCTGTAGTGTTTTTAATAGCTTTTGATTGCTAGAAAGTTATAAAAATATTTTGAAAAGCAAATTTTTTTGAATATTTTGAAAACGTCAGAAATTTTCGAAAATTTTATTATTTTTTGATTTCTAACACTGGGTAAAATGCAAGAAATGGTTTGTTAATAGATAATGGTTGCCGAGACGAATGTATGGATAGAGGATATATATGGAACGGTGATCTATTACCCAAAATATGATATCAAACAACGAATCGGAGTCTATGGTCGATGGCCACGCTATGTGGGTGAACACAGCCAACTAGGGCTTCGGTAAGAATCGTATTCCATCAATTATTTCCTATCCTATAAGCGAGAAAAGTATGTTTGTTTTCTGTAATGAAAATTTCTCGGCCGCCAGGCCGAATTTGAAGCCGATTTTTGGCATGGAGGTGGAGAAACACTTTCGCCAAAAACGGGTTTTTGGGTTTTTCGAAATTTCCTTAGTGAACGATTTTACAAGCAAAATAGCGAAAAATCCTTGACAAAGTGGGCTACGAGCCGTGGTCTTCGAGCTCCGTAACTCGAAGCCCAGATGGAATTTCGGGCTGTGATTTGGAACACTTATGTATTCGATAGTGGGGATCACGTGCATCATATTATCTTGACTAATTTTTAGCGTATTCCGACTAAAAATGGAGTTTTGTAAAGTTCTGGTGTCTCCGGGATCACTGGGGCGTCCTTTTCTTTGCCTTTTCGAACTTTTCGCTTTTTGGTGGTTCAGCAACAAAACGTAATCCTCAGCAACAAATCCTGGGGAAACCCCAATAAGATTCTAGCGCAACGCTGGCTCTTGCGCCGCAAGCGTGGAAAAGGGCCGCGAAGCGGTCTTTTTCCACTGGTTTTTATGTTTCTAATTCAGCGCTTACAAAACGCGTGGCATGCCAATCGATCGATTCCTGCCCTTTCTTCTCCACATCCGTTCCCCGATGTATTTGTGGATCTCGTTGACGCCCGGTTTCGAGCAGGTCATCTCTATTTTCGATTCGAAGTGTTTTCTAACCTAAAATTAAAAACAGTCACGCTAACTAGCAAACTTTTTTCTGTGGTGACGATATCAGATATCAGTAACGTGTTTTTTTCAGGGGCTCACCACCGAGCACAAGATTCCGGAAAACTCCCGCCCGACGCCAGCCAATTTTAATTTTGATGTAGGTTAGGTTTAATTTTGGTAGGTTTAATTCCAACGTGCAGTTGAGGCCGTTTGTCCAAAACCTGCGCACCGTGTACAGCCTCAATTTGTGCCTCGACTCGGCTGAATGGCTGCCAAAATTGTGTGGCAACTACTTGCAAGACGTCCTTCAACTGAATGTATTCAACGTTCGTTTATTCTTGTATCGGGACAGGACCAATCCGTTATGAATCCTGTAGAAAATGTGGTTCTGGGACCCAAATTTTGCCTGTGGTTCCCTGCGGCCCTATAAAAAAATATAGCCATTTTTATAGATCATTGTTTGTAACTATAAAAAGAATATAAAAATAATAGCAATTTTCAAAAATGGTGACGTTTTTGTTTCTGAAAAATGGCCAAAAATGTAAAATTTCCCCGTCTTCAAAATGTCTTTTTTATAGTTTACCAGCAATCAAAAACCACTAAAAACACCACAGAAATACGTAATGTATCATCTACAGCTGGAAAAACATAAAGTCCCCCCGCTAACGGTCTAGAACCGAAAATGTTAAAATTTAGCTTTCCGAACGGACAACCCGCTGGCCACCATCGTGTCAAGTCAGTTTTTTTCTGATCGGGGCAATTTTGTTAATGTTTCTTTCCATCCATTTTGAGGAGTGCGATAAAACGGAGCAAAATTACAGAAGTCAATCTAAGCACTCACCTAGAATTTCGAGCCGACCGGATGGTGGAGCGGGTTTTTGCGTGGGAGACGGCGCGAAGAGACCATTTTCGCCGGTGTCACACATTATCTACATTTCCTAATCCTCATCGAGGTCAGCCGCATTCTCAACCATTTTTCATTTCCGCATTTTTTTTTCGAAAGTTCCGGAAAGATTTCCGGGGGAACAAATTCCTCGGCCCAAACCTAATTTTTTTTTATAAATAGAGGATGCGTTGCTAAAATGTTTGTAATTATTCCTAAGCATAAAAACAATACAAATTTTTAATTAAAAAATTCAATTTTAGGTCGAGACATTAATTTTTTCGACCAAAAATGTCCAAATTTTCGACTTTTTCATACATTTTTCTAACTTTTTTTGTAAGTTCTTCTTCTTTGACTATAGTTAAAACTTACTGTTGTAAAACCGTGTCAAAACACTTTATATTTGATGACTAGGCCAACCGGGGGCCGCGAGTAAAAAAAATAAGCGAGACTACTAACTATGATTCAACAGCTCGCTTTTTCCAGCAATTTATCCTACATCAAAATGATGATGATGATGATGGGAGAAGAATGATCGAAATCAACTCGAGACTCTGCTTTTTACCCGACGAAAACTACAAAGCACTCGCCGATGAATTTTGGGTAGGATGTTGTAAATAGTTTTTATCGGGATACGGATCTTTCGCGTTATCGGGGGGCGGAGAAGATATTTGCCCAATTGTTTCTACGGTTTTTAAGTGTTTCTAGGGGGAAGTTCTAAACTGTTTCTTTTACTATTCTTAGGCGTACAAACTTCACAATTTTTTATTAAAACATACAAAAAAAACAGATTTTTCGACCGGAAATGTCCGTTTTTGACCAAAATTTCGTTTTTTGAACAAATTTCGAATTTTTAGATAGTTTTTCCAGCAAAAATATAGTTTTATTTTACTAAAAACATTATGAAAATAGTTCCTATTAAGTTACCAAAGACTTCTACATAAACACAAAAAAAGTTGTCCCCCCCGATAGTGCTAAAGAACCCTAGATACATCGAATACATCAGATACCTCCGTCGATATACATATAGTAGAGTAGCTGGTCGTTGTTTTGCAGAATTTAATCGATGAGGGGTTGAAGAAAAACGTTGGCCTGACGATGGTCGAGTTGACGGATGGCCAAAACGAGACCGGGATGGTCAAAGAATGGATGAGCCAGCGACGGCCGGTCACCACAAAACGAATTCGGTTTATGAAGCGTGCTTTCAGATGTACGATGGCTACAAGATGCGTCGCTACTTCCAATTTGGAGCCTTCGAAAAACGTAGGTGGCCATCGATACTTGAGGCTAACAAATGAAAACAAACGAATAGCGATGAAAATTGCTCAAAGGGCGGTGGTCGTAGGTACTGGACTGTTAGCGGGGGGGGGGGTTTAGCAGCAGTAACCTAATTTTCCCGTAATCCCGTACGGCCCTATACCAAATGAAACCATTCAGCATTCGGTTTCTAGTAACGAAAATCCCAAAAATTCGCAAAATTTTCGACGTTTTTTCGTCAAATTGTATGAAAAACGACCAAAAGGTTAGATTTTGCGAAATTTCACAAATTTTAAAATATTTCTTCTACTTTCTAGCAAGCAAAACCCTCTAAAAACACTATAAAATACGGGTTTTTGTGTCGAATTATGTCGAAAGTTGCATCAGGTGATTTTCAGATTTGTTGGGAGCGTACATCTACAATGGAGAGGCAATGCAAGCACCCTATGGACTCATCTCATTCTGTTTCTTCAACACCAAATCTGCAACACGATCGCCATGTCGACTCCCCATTCTGGTGGACAGTCAACATGTTCATTTTGAATAGTAAAAGCTTCTTCCTTTGTAAACCGGCAAACCGATAATTATCTTTATTTACACAATTGTTGCGGCGAATTCGTGCGCATGTGATTTCTGTTTGTGACGCTTAGAAGGCTTCGGATTGGCGCATCAGATCTTGCTCTTGGCCTTCCCAGTTCGTCCGCGGATCGTGTCCTCGATCTGGAAAAGGATTTATTTCGTCGAAATAGCGAAATTCGCACATTTCCGCAAGGTTTTCTGCTAGCCTGCTCGGAATTTTTTGTTCGTAAAAAACTCACCTGTCCCCAGGCGTCGTTGGTCATCTGATGCAGTTCACGGGCCCCAATCGAGCTGCCGTGGTTGAACCACTGCTGCCCACCGTCGAAATCGATTATCTAAACAAAACCGGTGATTTCACGAATGTTTTCTTTTTACAGTACTGGACTGTTAGCGGGGGGGATTTTCCAAGTAGCTAACGAAATATAAACCTTTTCATAGAAGTTTACACAGTTTTAGGTATAGAAATCTTGTAGAAATCGCAAATTTTTCGAAAATTTTTGACTTTTTGGTCAAAAATCAAGGAAAAATGGCCAAAACGGTCAAAATTTAATTTCTAAAATTTTTTTGTAGCTTTCTAACAAGCAAAAACTACGAAAAAAACACTACAAAACAAAATAAATGTGATTAAGGAAGGCTCAAACCGGTTTCCTCCGCTAACAGTTCAGCACCATTTTTCCTTACCGCTCCATTGAGCCAGCTGGAATAGTCGGAACAGACGAACGAGGCCAGATTCGCCAATTCCTCCGGGGTGCCGCACCTCAAAAAAGTTAGAAGAAAATTTAGGAAGCCTTACCGGCCAGCTGGTACAGTCTGCCCGGCCATCGCCGCCGCATCCTCCAGTTTTCCCGGCATCAGACGCCCGAAAGCTCCCTAAAAGTCAAAACTCAAAAAAGGTAATTTTTAGGGGCTATTAGCGTTTTGTTTTGCAATTTGATATAGCCAATTCGATGGAGCTTCGAATTCTGGACAAATGCCATCGGTACTGGACTGTTAGCGGGGGGGGGCTTTTAGCAAGGGGTAGGGAAACTAATTTTTGTCATTCCGCCGATCTTGAGGTACTTATTAATAGTATAAACGTATTTCTATGGTGTTTTTAGCAATTTTTGCCAGCTAGAAACTTTTAAAAAATGTATAGAAATCCAAAACTACGAAAATTTCGGCGTTTTTTGGTCATTTTTCATGCGTTTTTGACGAAAAAGTCAGCATTTTTGAATAATTTTAGGGTTTTTACTGACGTTTTTCTTGTATCGAAAAACTGTAAAAATCATATAAAGATGATTTATATTTCGCCATAGAGATTGCCCGGAAAAGTTTAATTCCCCCCGGCTAATAGTCCGGTCCAGCAGTTTTTGAAAGCAGGTAGATGTTCAGATTTTGAAGCTCTATCCAACGAGCTATGTCACATCGCAACAAAAAAAAACTTTAAAAGCCCTTAAAACGAGACTTTACAAGCTACAAACCTCAGTGGGAATCGGTCCGGGTGCGATGACATTGAAGCGCCAGCCGTGTTTGGCCCATTCCGTAGCCAGAGAACGCGTCATATTCTCGACGCCTGCCTTCGAAATGGCCGACGGCACCGTGAACGGGCCACCGTTTCTGAAAAGGCGAAAAATTAGAGAAAATTTCGGCTGGAAAACGAAGGTTCTTTTCGATTATCGGGGGGGGGGGGGGGCAGCAACCAAGCAATGTCAAGTAACGCAATAAGAAGTATTTGATACTGTTTTAGTAAAATATAACTATCTTTCAGCTTGAAAAACGATCGAAACACTTTTAAAGCATTTTGAAATCGAAATTGTGGCCAAAATCGGTCATTTTTTGTCGAAAAATGGATATTATTGGGACTTTATTAACGCGTTGTCAAGCTTAGTTTACGCTCGGGAACAGTAAAAAAACCTAAAAACGCACCTGGCATAGGGGGTAGAAATGGAGAGCACGGTGCAGCCTTGGCCCTTCTGAATGGCACGCTTGCCCAGCTCGAGCGTCAGATTCATCGTGCCCAACACGACGATGTCGATCACCGCCTGAAAATCCGGGATTTTTATGGAAAAACTGAGCTTTTCGGATCAACAAAACACCCAAAATCATCGGTTGAAAAAAATTGGGTTCTTGCGCAATATCGGGGGGCTTTTCCTATAAGTCAAAATATGCCTAGAATCTTATATAAACCATTTTAATCGTGTTTTTGGTCCAATTTAGCTATCTTCAAGTGAGAAATACGGCAAAATTTTAGAAAAGTCCAGTAAATTTGAATGGTAAGATTTTTATGGGGGTTAGGAATTGCAAAAAAAACGATGTTGCAGTTTCTCCGTTGAATGTGAACAGTTGGATCCTAAAGATTAAGCAAGTCGCCCCCGATACTGCAAAAGATCCAAAACCTCGGCTAAAGCTACCTTGACAGCATTTGGCGACAGTCTCTCCGTGGCCATGATGAAATTCCCGGCCGCGTTGTTCACCAGGATATTCGGCAGCTGACCGAATCTAAAGCGAAAAATCCAGCTAAAAATTGCCATTCCCACTTCTTTTCGATGTCATCAATGGTCTGGGTGATCTGTTCGGGTTTCTTGACATCCATCTGGAAAACCTCGACTTGGCCGCCCGTCTTCTGCCGGATATCAGCCGCCGCTTCTTGCAGCACTTCGACACGTCTGAAAAAAAATATCAAAATGGATTACCTATCAGTTTAAATTCACTATCTTTCGGTTTTCAATTCGAAAAACCCTGAAATTTCGTTATACACTACACTTCCAGGCTTCCACAAAAAAAACACGATAAAAATTTTTAAGTTAATCGATTTTTGCACCACGAACTGTTTTCTTCCTAGTACAAATTGAAGCAGCGTTTTTAAGCTGTTTCATGCATTTTCAAAGTAAAATCTTGCAAATTTATTAAAAGCGAAGTGACTTTTCTGCCAAAAGTTGAAATAAAAATTTTTCAAGCTTTCTACATAGGTTTTGCACTTCGGAAATCTCGCTAAATTTGCCAAAAATACTATCAAATGTTGTCAGCGATTTCTGAGACAATTGAAACCCCCCCCGCTAATCAACAAGAACCATTTATTCAAAAGGTCCAAAAACAATCGCTCTCACCTGGCGGCGATGGCAACGCGGGCGCCGAGTGCGGCAAAAGTGGTGGCGATGGCTTTGCCGAGTCCCGTTCCACCGCCAGTCACCAGGGCCAACTAAAAATAACGGGAATATTGGTACTAAAGTAACAAGATACCTTGTGTTTCATACATCCCTTCGGCAGGGCCAATTGGTTGACGATCGGAAAGTGGAGGGTCGGCTTCTCACAGGCCATTTTTGCGGTTTTGGTTAGTAAAACCTGAAAATGCGCTCATCAAAATGATAAATTGTACGACAAAACAACGGTATTTCTAGAGAGGAGAGGAGAGGTAGAGGAGGTGTGCGAAACGTTTTTTTACTCTACATAAAGGTAAAACCGTTACAAATTGTCATCAAAAAATCCAAAAAATTATTTTTTTTCGGGCCAAAAAACGTTATCGTCGAAATTTTTGTCGAACAATCTAGATTTTTCGTATTTTTTAATCAAAACTGTAGTTTAGGAATGGTAAAAAACAGCTTAGAACTCTTCTTTCTTGCTAATAGAACAATTGGATCCTTAGAAAAAAAAATTGGCCGCCCGATCAGACGCAAGCACCGATTTTTGTATGGTTGTTATGTTTAGGAATAAAATTCTTTAGGTCCCGAAAGTACCCAAATCGGCAGCCTATTTTTTTATTGCGGAAACCACTAACCAAAAAATAAAAATTAAAAATAGGTCGAAAAATAGACCCAAAATGACCAAATTTTCGACTTTTTTTAATTTTCTGATTTTCTTTTAAAACTTACTAAAACAATTCGAAAACACTTTATATTTGATTACTAGGCCGGACCAAGGTTGGTTCCCCGGGATCTTTCCCCGGCTAAAGAACCGATAAATACAAATCAGATGAATCGGCAATTCAAAAAGGTATCTTTTGGGATTGGAGATTCGATCAGACTACAATGCAGCTGTTCTTATAGCCACCACCACCCACTCACGGAGTTTGCACCCCCGCCCCGTTATCAAATGATGGGAGAGCAGAAAGGATACACGAATAGCACAACAACAATCTATAACAACTACAACACTACAAAAAACCCCTTCAAAATTCAATTATACACCAGCGGATTTATGAGAAAATGGTGCTTTGTTCGGGGGGTTTTTTGAGGATTCAATTCTTCTAGTATAAATAGCAGTGTTTTGAAGCTCTATTTTGCTATTCCTAACCGCAAAAATATTCAAAATTTTGCTGAGAAAACAAAAAACTCAAAGTTTTCGACAAAGAAATGGTCGAGTTTCGATTTCGATGTTCCCCGTTTTCGACGTTTATATAGGCTTTTTGATTGTTTTTCTGCTTAAAATATCGTTAAATTTTAGTGAGAAACTATGAAAATATTTATCATGATTACTAGACATTTCGGAAACTAATTATAAGAACCCCCGCCCCCTCCCCGATAATGGACAAGAAACCTGGAAAAGGTTTAGCAATCCAGATATAGCGCCGTTTCCCTAAAAGGGATTCTTGAGGTCAAAATTCCTGCCGTCTTTTAGCAAATCAACAAAATGGAGAAACCACAAATAGCACGAGCTTTTCGCCTCAAAAATTCACTTTAAACCAAGCCGATTTTATTAAAAAATTTATCGAAAATGACCCGCGTGTAATAAATGGAGTGTATTGTGTGTGCGTGCGCGCAAAACGGCAAAATTTTCAGCCTGAACAAAACGGCCGAAATTTGTGTTACAAAAATGAGATGCAATTCGTGGGGGAGAGAGATCAGAGAAAGAGAGGGGGAAGAACATCAGAAAAACGGGGGGCAAACGAGCAGTGTCCATTCAATCGTCTAGAAATCGTTGGAAGAATCGTAGACTCGATAGGTGGGCAGAAATCCGCGTCCCTTGTGGGAATGGCTGGAGGTGGCCACGCAACACTTCAACCATGGCTTGAAACGGGCAGACTGAAAAAAGAGGAGTGTCCCGGTTCTTTGGCATTATCGGGGGGAGCAGCGAATTTTTTCCTATAATTCTAGAAGTTTTTAGCAACATTTAACGATACTTTAAGTCGAAAAACAATCTAAAAAGTTTCAAAAATTTTTTAAATAGAAAATTGCTCAAAAATCTATATTTTTTTTCAATCAAAATTTGGGAAAATTTTGAAATTTCGGAATACTAAAAACAGTGTAGAAATATTTGCCTTTTTATTCCTTAAAAATGCACCCCTTCCCCCCATAACGCGAAAGAACCGAATTCCCATTCCGAAATAATCACTGCCAGATTGCCAGGGCCAAGAGAGAAAAACGAACCATTTTCGGGTCAGCAACGTAGGGGCGATTAGACGAGCCATTATTCCACGCATCCCAGCCACGCGCTTGGTACGAGTCCCTAAAAAATGGTTGAAAACCGGCGCATTTGCAATACCGGGGGGGATTTCGCCCATCAGTCCAAATTGCTGTAACAGCAATTATTTTAACCTTGTTTAACTTCAGGAATTTTCGAGTGCAAACCCATTTAGAAAACCTAGAGAAATTCTAAAAATTTCAAATCTCGGTCAGAAATCGCTAGTTTGCATTTTTGAACAGCATTTGGAAAGTTTTACCCTCAGGAAATAAAAAAATAGTGTAGAAACACTGAGGAATTTTTACTGATTTTTCTATGCGCAAAAAAAATTAATTCTGGGTGAAAAATTAAAGGTTCTTGGGCATTATCAGGGCAGCCTTTCTCTTTTTTTCCTAATTTAAACTAGGATTTCTAAACTTTTTCGTGATTAGAAAAATAAAAAAATTTTTACATATTTCAAAAAAAAAAAAATCGTAGAAAATATAGATAAAAAAAAAAAAAAAAAAAAAAAAAAAAAAAAAAAAAAAAAAAAAAAAAAAAAAAAACATAAAAATAAAAATATACCTGGACCCGGTGTCATACGATCGATAGCGCGACCCGTAGTGTCGCTTCTGGATGCTGGAAAAGATGATGTTTCCACAGAAAATGCCAAAATGCTCACGAGTAGGGGGCGAAGCGGCGGGCCGTCGACGAATAGGTGACACGGCTCGAGATCGGGGTGCGACGCTGTAAAGCAAAAATATAAAATATTTTAACAAATATCCTCACCGATCCGCTGCGGGCCAGCGATGAAGCGCCGTGCACAGAGAGGCTAAAAAGACCGGAGTTAACTTAAGTTTAAGAATCGGAAAATTTGCTAATTGATTTAGGCTATTAAGATCGGTGCTGGACTCTTAGCGGGGGGATTTCTCGCGAGGGAAGCCACATTTCCCAAATAATCCCGTACGATTCTATAACAAATGCAACACATTTTTTATATACTTTTCGACCGTTTTTAGATATGAAAAGCTATCACAATTTGCAAAAAAATATCGAAAAATTGACTTTTTTTTAAAAAATGTATAAGAAATTATCAAAAAGCTCAAATTTTCATTAAAATTTTAAATTTTTTATTTTTAGCAATAAAACCCCCGCTATAAATTATCGAAGGGACGAAAAACACCACCCCCGCTAACAGTGAAGTACCTCCAAGCTCAATAAAAAAAGATACCGCCGGCCCTGTGGATGCGGTGATTGCGGATGTAGGAGCTGCTTCGAATCGGCCGGCTTGGCACGTAGCGATTGCGCTCGTAGCGAGGCGAGAGGCTCTAGAAAAAAGAAAATCAAAATAAAACTAAGAATCCAGACCACGTCATCGCCATCAGAACCGCCGTCATCGTCATGTTGATCATCTTCCGATCCGTATTCTTCCACCTCCCATCCGTCCTCATCGAAATCCTCGTCCTCCTCTTCGATCATCTCGCACTCATCGCCCGACACGTACAGAGTATCATTTCTGAAACGGAAATAAATGAGGTCAGGCTCAAATTGGACAGAAAGATAGAGTTCATGATGCTCAACATTTCTCTACCTCTAAAAATTTACTATGTGCTTTTAAAACTCGAGAAATTTCGGCAAAAAAATGGTAAAAACGACGAAAACTGTGAAACAAGAAGATTTCTCGACGTTAGGCTTGCATTAAAAAACGATTATAGCAAATTCTCAAAGCAGGAAAACGAGCTACATCTTCTGCTTCACATTTCAGTCAATTTTAAACCGGATATGCGTAAAGATTATCAAATTAGAACTTGCGGCACTTTCGCATTATCGGGGGTGGCTATTTTTTCCTAGAACACCAGAAATGTCTAGTAACTTATTGGTACGGTTTTTCATAGCTTTTTTCAGAAAAATTTAGCTATTCTCAAGCGGAAAAAAATTCAAAACACGGTGAAAAATTTTTAGACAAGGTTTTGCTCGAAATCGGCCATTTTTGGTCGAAAAAATAGATATATTTGTATTTTTTAATGAAATTTGTCAGTTTTCACGTTTAGGAACACTAAAAACAGCTTAGAAAGCTTCCCTCCCCCGCTAATGCGAAATTACCGAACCGCGAACAATTCCTCACCGAGCCTTCCTGGAATGACGTGCCGGGGCCCAGGTGAGACGATCGCGAATCGACGTGCGAGCCACCTTTCGCTGGTCGCGGTCACGGCCAGAGCATGGGCGCTTCTAAACCCACAAAAATAAGACGTAAAATCACAATATCGCGAACCCTGCTGTCCATCTGCAGCGCTGCAAAGCGATCGCTGAGTGTACGGGTGCTGGAGCAGGAATTCTAAACGAAGACTAAAAGAAAATGTGCATAAAACGCACCCTTTCCAGTCTAATCTGCTCAAAATCGTCCTTCTCTTCAACGATGTCGACTTCTCCCTCTTCCTCCTCCTCTTCCGCTTCCTCAGCCCTGTCCGCGAACAGCGGTTCTTCGACGTATTCGGGCACTGACAGCTTCCTGGCTGCTCGACGCGGGCCGTTCAGGACGTAGCTGAACAAGGGAATCATTCTACTATTGGAAACTCCACTTACACGGCCGCATCGTGCACATCTACTTGCATTTCCTCGGGCGCCGGGTTGTTGAAGAGCACTTTTCTGGTTGACATGCTGAAAAATAGGGATCTTAGAACGCCAAATAACCATAAATACAAAGAAAGAGCAGTTTCACGTGAAAATAAAGAAATTCTTTGAGGAAACGGCATTGGAAAAGCGTCTTTGGCAGATATTCGGCGCGAATTTGTTAGAAAGAGCAAAACGGCAAAATGCAGACTCGCTTTCAAAGCTAGTTTTCGTTTTTCGAAGAAACGCCCACTTATTACGCGACAGAGAGCATTTTATTGGTTGGCATTCCGTCAAATAGGACAAATAAATACAAAAAAAGGATCCTCGTTAAAATAATTGGCTTCTTTCACTTTTCCTGCCCTGAAATGCCCGAAAAACCGTCACGAAACGCAGTCGCCAAAAATCTACAACGTAAATGCGTTAGAAAAAGGCAGCACGGCAAAGGTCAGTATTGTTTTTAACAAGCTTAATCTGATTTTACTTTCTAACTATGTGCGAACCGCAACTTTAGGTTCTTCTCCGGTAGCACCATCCAGAAAAGCGAAAGTTGTCCTCAGAAAATTCAGGCAAAAACACAAAGAAATCTCATGATGTGATCTACGAAATTTGTTGCGCTTTTTCGAAAGCGATTGCCAGCCGCTGCGCCACACATCGCCCCCTGCCAATGCCCAACAAAAACAACGTGATTTTGCAAAAATAGCGTAAAATGATCAATTTTACTACGGTTCTAATACCCTAAATTAATTACACAATAGAATACATACTTCAGCTCCATTTTTAACATTTTACAACGTTTATTTGATAAATAGACCGACAAAATTTGCTAATTACTGCAAAAATTCAAAATCTTCCCCCAGCCCATTCCACAACAATCCATGCGCGTCATTATGCATTGGCCCGTAGTTGGATACTGTATAAATGGCACAATTCATTTCATCACCACAAGTCCCTCCTATCCAAAAAAAACGAAAATATACTAAAAAACGCGCGACAACGATGAAGAAAAGAAGGAAATGTCGACAAGTAACTCGAATCACGGACAATTCATCTATGATATACACACAGGGATATAAATAAGGGAAGAGAGAGGGGGAAAGGCACGCAAATACACATTCTGGGATTGGCTATACACTCAAACGGGGGCAATAAATGGCAGTTTAACAGACAGCGGCGAGCAGTCGTATGCATTCGTATTAATTCTTCTTCAGCTTCTTCATCAGACTCTCCAGGGCGATCGCTTTTTGCATGTTGCCCTAGGAAAGAATAGATTCGTGTTTCTAAAATGTTTTTACTATCCCTAAACGTAAAAAATTTACAACGTTTTATCAAAAATACAAAAAAATCGAATTTTCGACCAAAATGGCCGTTTTTAACTAAATTTCGACTTTTTCAAAATTTTGAAAATTTTGTGAGATTATTAAAAAGTTAGTAAACACATTACAAAAATACTTTCCTTAAGTTATTAGGCATTTCTAGAATAATTCGCCCCCCCTGATAATGCGAAAGCACCTAGATCAACGTCAATACCTTAATCTGCAGTTTCTTCATCGAAAACGCGACCAGGGCCGAGAGTTCACCGTTGAAAAGCCGCAGGAAATCCTCGTCCGAGCACGAGAATCTGGAAGTTTAAAGCATTAAAAAACAACAGGAAAATTACTCGACGTCAGCCTTCTCGGGTTTGCCCTCCGTAATCGATCCATTCCCCTCCTTCAGGTTAATCGAAATCGAGCGGTTCACTTTGCCTAAAGAATTTTAGAAACATATTGTTTTGAAAGTGGCTATACCAGGAGACGGTGAAGACAAGATGCCGTTGAGCTTTTTGACCAACTCCTCGCTCAGCGCCGCTTTCTACCACTTTCAGCACCTAAAAATAGGGTTTTATGGTTCTGGTTCTTTAGCGGGGGTGGCACTTTTCGTCGAGCTTATTTTGACCGGGAAACCAAACTCTTCGTAAATTTTCGAAGCTCTGTCGGATCCCGTTAACATAGTCACGAAAAAAAGCGGTGACAAGAAGCACCCCCGCTAATGAACCAGAGCCGATTACATAACGAAAAGCCAGTTTTACCTTATCAATCTCCTGGCTGACGACATCCTTCGTGATCGCTTCACGGGACGCCGATCGTTTCTTGCTCTTCGTGTCGTCGATCGTCTAGAAAAATCGAGATAAATCCAATTTCTTGAATTTACCAGCTGGAACTGCTTCAACCGGTCGGCCGGCAAGAAGTAGTCGGCGATCAGTGGAGCGCCTATAGAAATCGATTTTCAAAGATTAAACCCAAGAATACCCTGCTTGACGGCATACTTGTTGAAATCGGTGATGCCCTCCTCCTTCAGCACGTCTTCGTCGATGGCAAAGTGACCGGTGTACTCCTTGGAACGGCGGGACAGCATCGCGTAGGCAGCATCTAAAAAAATAGAACATACAAAATAGTCAGGTTCTTCTGCATTATCGGGGTGGACCGAAATTTTTTCTTTGGCTCCAAGGTTTCCAATAAAAATATATGGTGTTTCTAAGCGGTTTTTTTACTATTCTTCAGCGTAAGAACCTTGACAAACTTTAAGGTCAAACACAAAAAAAAACAAGCTTTTTCGAAGAAAATAGCTAGTTTTTATCAAGATTTCGACTTTTTGTAAATTTTTGAAAGTTTATAGATCGTTTTTCTAGTTGAAAAATAGCTTTTTTTGCTAATAATAAAATACTTCCGTATAAGTTATATTCCCCGAAAATGCGAAAAACCTGGACCTAATGGTGAAACCCTAAAATACCTGCAATAATGGCTGGATGACGGCACACGTCCGCGCCCTGGCCGGATGAGGCATGTCCATGGCGGCTGTCCGATGGCTAAAATGAAATAAAATTTGAGGATGAACGAAAGTACCGGTCAACGGCCACAGGGCATTCACGGCGACGCCCTCTTGGCGGAACTCTTCGTGCATTCCAAGCACACATCGACATCCCGTATTTGGCCATCGTGTACGCGACGTGACTCTAGACAAAGTTTCGATTCTCAATGCTTTTTTACCCCTAAACCAGAGGAATCCATGACGAGTGGAGGGGAAATGTTGAGGATGTGCGGGTTTTCGCTTGTTTCAGGTAGGGCAAAGCGGTCTTGGACCTGTAAAGAGTTGGTGAAAAGATTGGTACTGGACTGTTAGCGACTTTTAGAAGGGGAAACTAATTCTTGTGGTTTTTAATCACTAGACACATCAAAATATAAAAATTTCCAAAATTGGGCAATTTTTACCTTTTCTCGATCATTTTCAAACATTTCTGATAAAAATGTAAGCTTGGTAACTTCTCATGAGCAATCTATCAAAAACTATAGAATAACTATATTTACTTGAACAATTTTATTTCCCCCGCTAACCACCGTACCAAACGTTTTTGAGCCCCAAACGCACATCAAAAAGGTGCCGCGCGTGTTGATGGAGTGCATCAGGTCGTAGCGCTTCATCTCCGTCTCCAGGGTGCGGGTCAGCGCGATCGCCGAAGCGTTGTTGATCAAAATGTCGACGCCGCCGAATTTTTCACCTACAAGAATAGGGAATCGAGAAAAGGGCGTCCTTCCACCGTTTCCTGGACACAATCATTCCCCGATGATTTCTCGTCACGGACATCAACGGCAAAAGCGAGGGCCTTTCCTCCGGCCTAAAAACATAATTTGGCTCTTCCAAAACCAAAAACCTTCTCAATCTCCTCGGCGGCCGTTGTAGATGGTGCCGGGAGTTTTGGGTGCGGGGTGACCCGTCTTGCAGCTACTACGATATTCGCCCCATCCTTCGCCAACTTCAGCGCAATCTCCTTGCCGATACCGCGCGACGCCCGGTGATGATCGCCGTCTTGCCGGCGAATTTGCTGGAAAGGGAGATTAGTTCTACCAAAAACTCAAATAACTGGCCAAAACGTCCAGCGCCAAAACTAACCCCGTAGTTTGAACATGGCGACTTGTGTTGAGCGTAGATTTGGCGCTGAAAAAGAAGGAGTGGGGAAAGTTTGGGGGAAAGTGGGACAAAGGAAAGGGAGGGCTATCGGGAGGAACGACTATAGTTTTTAGGGTGAGCAGGCTACGAAGTTGATCGAGCAAAGGGCACACCCGGGGGTTGTTTTGACCGCGTAATGGATTCCCGTTGGGTGGAAAGGGAGAGGAAAGGGGAAAGAATAAGATGGAATCGAGACTGTAGATGAAAAAGAATGATAAAAGAATCTAGTAAAATTCAGAAATCAATATGTTTGAAAAATTGGAGGAAAAATAGGGGAAATGCAAAGTCGAAAATCCCGATGAAGGCTACGATCAGCGCCAATTGACGGAAATTCGTCCTTTGGAATGTTACGGAATGATCGAGTTTAGATTTTCGATTTTAAAACTTTAGAAAGTTTAAAAATCGATTCGTTTTATACCTTTGAATTCGATCCGTTTTGCAAATATTTTAACCCAGCACTTCCAGAGAAACAATGCTGAACAAACTTCCCGTGCGAGTAATGGAGCGTATCCTCGAATTGCTGGACATCGGTTCCTTACCAGGAATCTGGCGTTTGTATCGCCAAAGATGTGGGAAATAGTCGAAGAGACGCCGAAGAAGCACGAAAGTGTCAAGATCTTTCGGGCCAAGCCTCTGGGGCTCCGGCTTCATCTCAGTTGATGGGCTATCCAACCCGATCTTTATGATTGTGCAATTTATCAAGCTACCGCCATTACGTTGTCTACGTTTTCAGCCTAGCTTTGTTTTAGATGGGCATTCAAAGACGGCCAGTCCAACGCTTCAAATGCCCGCTTCAAACTCATGAAAAGAGAGGATCGCTCGATCATCATTCCGCGCCTCTTCCTCAATAATGCCACCTGTCAAGATGTAATTTTTTTTTGTTTTTTCATGCGCTTTTCGAGCTCTTCGACGCGCCGCTCTCCTATAACCAAATTCTGGTGCTCGTTGAACACGAAAGTGGTGCGGCTGTGCAACCCGAGGATCGGATCCATAGCAAGGCTGCAAGAGTTTGTGGGTAAGGAAATGATAAATTCGGAATAGAAGTTATTCAGATCATTTCAAACCCACTGACTTCATCCACGACATTTGCGTCAATTGCGATTAGAGATCGGGAGGATTGCGCCACGTTTTT